CCCAAGAGTATGTAGAATAATGGCCTTTGATAGGTCTTGGGCCATTATTTTACCTACTTTGGGGGGTCTAGGTAAACACCAACTACTACCTATTACGGACCTCAAGGTCTCACTTTAAGGCGGGCATGATATGTCCTGGAAATCTAAGGAGACGTAGAACCCCCGACTACCCTGTAACATACCCGAAAAACCCACTACTACGAATCCTAAGGGCTCTATTAACGGGCACTTCAGATGTCCTGGAAGTCTAAGAGGTTCCGGTTCCGGCCGAGGGCTCGGCTGATCGAAACTTGCTTCTCGCTGCACCTTTGGCAGCTCCTCGAATGCACATCCCAAGAGGTTGTAAGTATAGGAGTTAGCATTACCTTAACCTGGAAAACCACATTTTTTGTAGGGTCAATTCCCTAGCAGGGTTAGAAATAGGAACCTACAAAAGAGTAAGTTTCGGTAGTTGAAGGTAGGGTTTAGGGTTTGGGATTATGGGGGAGTTTGGGGGATATGGACCCTCTCAATGGTCCCCTTTAGGGCATCAGTGGCGCCATTGAGAAGAATGGTGATGAAGTCGTAATAGCCCAGATGATGGTATCTGACAGCAAAATACCATATACTACGTAGTTCCGAACATCGAAACGCTAGTGTGTTTTTGTCTTTTTTGACGCCTTAATCCGACTATGGGTCTGGAAGCAGCTTACCTGGTTTAGGCTTAGGGTTTAGATTTTCGGGGTCAGCACCGGGGGTGGCATAGGAGCTAGGGTTTTGGCTCTCATGGTTTGGGAAGAAAGGTTGAGGGAGCTAGTCGGAAGCCGTGTGACTACATTCTACACAACGAACATGAATTGGGCGGTTGTCAAAATTATGGTCCCTTTTTGGATACTCTAAATATTAGGCTCCGTATTAAAATTGGGACCCAGCAAGGGACCCTAATATTGACAACCACCCACTTCTCACCCTGCGAATGTGTGGCTACATTCAAATACCTGGAACGATGCTGGAGGCCTAAACCCTCAGCACTGCATCCAGGAATCCTGAAGCATCCAATTAACAAAACTCCTGAGATGTTACATGCTACGAACATCCTTCCGTACTTTCGGAGCTGATGGTCCATGTCACAGGTTGGACTTGAGAATTGGTGCCCCTGAGTGCACCCCAGCCCCACCCGCAGGATCAAATCATCTGAACTCTCTCAGGTACCTTTATACTGGTATGAGTCAAGCATACATTTAAAATACCTCAACTCACTACACCCTCAGAGCTGTCAAATCGAATCCTCTTCGCAGGTGAGCTCCCAAACCTGCAAAGCACCGCCAATTCATAAAGGACCGGGGCCCTAAGCCCTTGGACGGTAAGATAGGAGCCTCAAAAATTAGAATAGGGTTTTGGGGCCCTTTATTAAGGCCCTTGTATTATTCCGTTTACGGTTGAGGGCTTCAGGTTCCCTGTAAAGGGCTTTGAATGGTCTGCTTGGAGGTTCATGGATAGTTATAAGTAGGACTATAAGTCCCCTAATAGGAGTTGTACGTATAGTTACCCTACTAATGGCCCCACTAACTACCCATGAACCTCCGAGTAGTTAGAGGGTTGTATACGATGGCGTGTCACACGGACGTGAGATTGAATGTAGGGGTTGCCGCGGCAAGACTGATCATGACGGATCTGACACAAAGGACATGGATGTTGGATGACGTCGTGGGTTCAACAACTAATGCCACTGCCCGGCACTTGGAGGTTCATGGGTAACTATAAGTGGGGTTATAAGTGGGGTAACGATAACTATAACCTATATTGGGAGACTTGCAACCTTACTTACAACGACCCATGAACCTCCAAGTAAAGTGTACCCATGATCTGATGCGAGGCAGGTCCCAGTCTACCGACAGTTGCACATGAACACTCTGAGAAGTCGGCTGAAGGGCGAAATGGGGGTTTCCGAAAAATGGAGACCCTAATATAGTACCCTAAATAGTAGGATCCCTCATTTTCGGAAACCCGTAAATGTGGACCACACAACCCCAAAGCATACGGTTTCGGTTTCGGCCGCTCACTCGACAAAGCAGCTGACACTGGGGTTAGAGTTAGAGGGGAGTGAACTTTCGTGGAGGTACCCAGCAACGGGCTCCACAATTTTAGCTGCAAGGCATTTGCCCTGTCATGCAGTAATGCCGTCTACCCGTTAGATCGCAGCTGCACTTGGCATAAATGGAATAACTGCAGTTTAAGTCTGCGAGCACGCGCCCGCCCCTTCTGCAAACCAGCACCTTGTAGTGCTCGTGCTTGGCATCGACATCCTGGAAGTAGATACATGTACGCGTGTAGCTGCACTATTGTTGCGCTAACGGAGACACACACACACACACATGTCAATGTAGAAAAAGCAATATGCAAGCCCCACTCCCCCCAATGTCCGCACGCAGACACACACAAAGAAAGAGAGAGAGAGAGAGAGAGAGAGAGAGAGAGACAGAGAGAGAGAGAGAGAGAGAGAGTGCGTGTGTGATCTTCGATTCGAGAAAGCGGAAGCTATCCATGGGCTAGGAGGGTATTTACATTATACAGACCACACACATCCTTTCTGTTCCTGTGGCCTTGCCTGCGCCTGCTGTGATGTTGTTGGCGTGGCCTCTTGCCATCACATCCTTATTGGCACGAACAGTGGTGTCCCAAAGTTACAGCACCACCTTTCGCATGGTCTGTGTTAGGCAGCGCATGCTGCAAGATATATATCATACACACACACACACCAAGACACACATGCACAACTAAAACCACGAACATGAACGATGTAACTGATTGATACAGTAACGGCAGACCTGCAGAGCATACCCCGTAAATGCTAAAGCCTGACTGAATCGGTGGTCTCAACGTGATCCTACGTAACGTGATCGGATCTCGACTGGCTTCTGGGCCTCATGACCCTAAACCCTAAACTCCTAAAGCCTAAAACCCTAAACCTTTCAACCCTAAACCCTGAAACCCCAAAGCCCCAAATTATCAACCCTAAACCCTTAATCGCGACCTTCTGAGTAAGCGAACCGCTTCTTGGATCTTGATACGTTGTGCACTCTTACCACAAAAGGCGACAGCTGATCTGCCCTGCTGCCTGAACCCTACACTCCCTACACCCTCAACCATGCCTGAGTCAGGTTGCGCCACGGTGGCCCTCCTCGGTGATTGGTGAAGATGGGAGTCTAAATTACACACAAGATAGGTTTCAGGGCTTTCAAAAGCTTCGGGATTCCAGAGTTTAGGGAAAAATCTTAGGCCGACAGGACGTGCGAAAGAGCTTAAGACTCTTGGCTTTTCAAGTTCAGGCTTGCAAGGTTAGTGTTTCAGGTTTTGGGGCTGAGAGCTTTTAGACCCTAAACCCTAAACCCTAAACCCTTATGGAGCTCTACGGTTCAAGGCAATCCTGATCTTTTCGCGTGCAATATGAGTAATTAGTGGGATTCCTTCCGCGGAATCCGCGGGATTTTTTGCAGGTGCTTTACAGATTTTGTCCAAAGCGGGGCAGTCTTGCGTACTGAAGAAGTCGTAGTTGTGTTCTCATGGTCACCACTACCGTCCAAGGTCCCTGTGATACCACTGGGCTCCCTCCCTGAAGCCAAATTCCAGGTCGATCCAGCTCGCAAACATTTGTTTGTGGTTGCGGGGCTTAATATAGGGGCCTTAACAGGTAGAATAGGGTTTCGGGGGCCCATTGTACTATAATTGTAAAAAGGAGCCCGCAAAAAATAGCATTGGCAATTTTTCAGGCCCCTATGTTAGGGTGCTCCCTAGACTACTAGATTCGCACTTGTAGTTTCTTTGTGGACCTCATAGAATCCTCACTATAGAAGTGGTTTAAGCCAACATTTGAACTACAATAGATTGTCCTGTCTCGCACTTGGGTAAGCGGACAGTTCTTTGTACCCTGTAAACTTTGTAGCCGAACACTCAAACCAAAACACCCGGAATGTGACAGTTCCGAGTCCACGACCGGACACTTCCCGCAGCGACACCTCCCGAAACGAAAATAAGCACCACAGACTAGAGATTCAAGTGCAACCCACAGTGCGCCTCGTGGATTCCTGCACCATCCGGTTTCGAGAGATCTGGTGCTACGAAATTCGAAATACCAATGACAAAAGGTCAGCCGAAAACAGAAGGTTTCCTTCAGGATATAGGTCGACATTACAGTAATTAGACACGACGCCCGACAAGTGCAAGTTCCCTGCTTCGAACGGTTCAGTGCAAATCAGCTGTCAGTTTGAGTGGCTATAGCCCAAAGGCTCCATGTACCCTTTTAGTAGATACTTAGGCCTTGAAGGGGTCCCTATATGGGTACTTTAAGGCCTATGTATATATTACAAGGGTACACGGAGCGTCAGGGTAGGTGCTCGCAGTTTACACTTGCACACACCCAGACACGCTCAGAAAGTCTGGGTCCAGAGACACGCAAAGCCGCTGCAACCGAAAACGAAGCTTCGGGAGAGTACGAGCAACCACCACTGGAGGAGTCAATGCAAACTAGGTACCTATTATAGGAACATAGCCATAAGAGAAGTCATCCAATACAAGGCACTACATTTTGTGGTAATCAAATAGTAGAACAGGCAAGAAGCTAGCCACGGGAAATACAGCAGAAGTACTCACTACCACAACATGGATCACTATCGGAGGTGCTCTGACCCAAACACTAACTTTGCGGTAGCGAAAACAGCGCGAACCAATACACCGTGATTCGATGATGCAGAATGAACTTAACAGATCCGACATCTTGGGCCTAAGACACTCTTCGACAGAAAAGCAACATGCCCTAAACTAAAAACCTCTTAGTCGTCCCGGGGCCCAATATCATGATGACAGCAAGCCCATCAGTAAGAGCAACGATCATCTGTTTCTCGGCAATCTGCTGCTGGATGAGACTGTAGAGGACTGAACCCATGCAACAGTGATGCTCAGACTACTTCATAGCAGTAACAAAAAGAAAGATATCACCTGTGGCTTACCGCACTCTGCATGGCTCAGTCCTCGCCTGATGCAACCTCAAGCAGGGTTCCGTAAGCTTCTGTACGCCCTGAGCGGAGCCAGACTATACTGCCTGTCCATACGACAGCACTGCAGCCGGCGCAAAGCAGAGCAAGAAAACTGCCGGTAATAAAAGAAACTATCGCCAAAAGCACCGGAAATGACACAGGGTAGAGCATCAGGATCGGCAGGCCCGCCACAGAATAGACAATGATGCCCATCACAACGGTCATGATGAAGGGCAGAAGAATCCTAGTTCATGGTTGGGATAGGGTTAAAAAATGTACATTTTATCCCTTATTGGGTTTTAAGTACCAATAAACGGTAAAATGTTACCCAAGTATGAAAAAAAGAGTCAGAATTCAAAATTTCAATTTTTCAGAAAAAGGTAACATGCTACCCAAGTATGAAAAAGTGTCAGAATTAAAAATTTCAATTTTTAAGAAACAGGTAAAATGCTACCCAAGTATGAAAAAGAGTCAGAAGGCCAAAGATGTCACCGAGGCCAGAGCGGTCCTCTCGGGCCAGGGAAGGCGCGAGTCAACGGATGTTCTTTACATTTGTACAGGTCGTACAGACTCTCTTTACACTATGTGTATATATATATATAGATATAGATATAAATATAGATACAGATATTCACACACACATGAATAAAGCAGCAGGTAGATGATGTACATATATCTTATATACACATATACATACAGTTACATATATGTATACACACGCATCGCAGTATCTGTCATGGTCAGCTTTCTTACAAGCACAGGATTGTCCCTGCGAACAGAGGTCGGCAAGACTTGAGTGCCCTAACCCGTCCCCAAAGTCCTGTCTGCTTTCTGGACGCATTCCTGCTGATCATGAATCAAGCCCCCTAAACCCTGAACCCCTCAACCCTAAACCCCAAACCCTGAACCCTAAACCGACGCTAAAGCCCTAAACATGCTTCAAGTTGAAAGCACCTTCGGAGAGGAGCCCAAAGAGCTTCCAGCAGTAAGACAACCCTACTTGTCGGGTATCATGGGGAACTACAGGTTAACCTTTTTGGTTAGATAGGGATTATATAGGGACTATACTTCCCAGAAAAGGTTAAAGGTTACTTACTCCACTACTAGGCAACCCCCACCCGTAGCTTATCGCCCCAGCCCCTCCCGGGACTTCAATCAGGATCCTTACACGTGGGATCAGAACAAAAACCTTTTGAAAGCCCAGCCCCATGTTGGAGTTTCCAAAAATAGGGCCCAAGAACAGGGCACCCTAGTGTAGTACTTAAGTATTAGGAGGATCCTTATCATAAGTAGCTCAAAATAAGGTACCTCTAACTTTCGGACACTCCCGAGTCTGCGTCCTGGCAGCCGCAGACCCCGGAGTGGCAGCCTTGAACCCCGGAGTCACAGCCTTTCGCCGCATGGTGTGCATGGTGACAGCCTCCAAGGGATCCCTTCTTCGGTTTAGGGTTTAAGCGGTTTAGGGTTTAGGGTTTAGGATATAGGATCTAGGGCCGGGGTGGCAAAATTCTTGCTTAAGGGGGTAATGATGTTCGATATATTATTAGACACCAGAGTCGCAGCCTCGTGCTCCTGAGTCACAGCCTTTCGCCGCGTAGTGCGCGTGATGACACCCTGCAAAGATCACCTACCTAGCCACCAACCTTAGCCGTCTACCTGTACATTACGTACTATCGACGTGCCACCCTGCCTGCCTACTTGAAGGATCATGGGACTTAGTGCATGGGGTTATACTTAAGGTAACTATACCTATAACTACTTATAACCCCAATTAAGGTACTTAAAACCTTACTTACTGAGTCCCATGATCCTTCAAGTACGTACCTGCCTACGGTTACCGACCTTGACGAGACGACTCCGATAACCTCATCACACTCAAACTCTCCAGTCTTGAGTCAGTATCTTAAACGCCTGAATCCCTGAAACCTATATATAGCTAACACACCTTACAACTCTGAACCCCTGAAAAACCAACACCTCAAACCCAAAACCCTCCAACGTTCAAACCCTTAACCATCCTTGTGCACCGCTTGCATGACGTTGGTGGCATCCACGGGTGCCTGTAGTGGACTTGCTGCAGCCCTGGCTGCCTGACAAGATTGTCGACGTTTTAACAGGTATCGGGCTTCAGTGTTTGGGGCTTTAGTCGAGATTTTAGAGTTCAGAGTTTACGCAGGTTCAGGTTTCTGTGCTGTCGAGATTCAGGGTTGGCGCCTGCGTAGGCTTTGCAGACTTCTGGTATATAGGCCTGAATAACTCCGAAGATCATGCATGTCCCTAAAACCTGATGGACATATTAACGAGCCCTGAGGGTCCATGTTCCCAGATAGTATATACTTTGGCCCCAACCTACCTATATAGGGACTACTTTAAGGCCAATGTATATACTATATAGGTACATGGGTGGTTGTCAAAATTAGGGTCCCATTTTGGGTTCCTATGATACTACGGCACCTTATATTTAGGGTACCCAAAACGGGACCAGAATTTTGACAACTACCCACATGGACCCTTAGAGCGAGGGTCCCTGTGTTACAGCCTTTCCAGGAGCCCAAGAAGCCTGATGAGCTTCGGACTATAGGATCCTTAAGGGAGGGTGGTTCAAGGGGGGAGGGTATAAGGAATCCTTAGGGGACTGTAAGGGAACCTTAGGGAGTACTAGGCAGGATTAGGGATCACTAGGCTATATACCCCCCTTGGACCCCCCTCCCTTAAGGATACTACAATCGGAGGTATTCGGGATGGGAGATTCAGGCGGTTAGGGCTTTAGGGTTTTAGGGTTTAGGGTTTAGGGGTTTAGGGTTTAGGGGTTTAGGGTTTAGGGGTTTAGGGTTTGGGGTAAGGGTTTAGGGTTTAGGGTTTAGGGTTTGGGGGCTAAGGGTTTAGGGCTTGACTTGAGAATGTTGCGAGCTGGCATTGCCAGTGAGAAGTACAATCTGAATAGATAGCAATGATATGCTTTCGAAGCCTCTCTATCTGATCGTAGTATACAGCACCACAACATGCGATTCCAATTCAGGCCCCACTGTAGTTGCATATACCGAAATCTCGAGAATAGCATGGATGACGGCGGCAGCCAGTGTGCTAAGGATGCCTAAATCAAGGAACCCAAGCAACAACAACGTTACACCAATGACACCGTTTCCGACCCCTCCCGAACAATCCGCGACCAGCGATGTTTCGGAAAGTTTCACCACCCAGTGGCCTGTGTGCAGACCTCGATGCTGCTCTTGCCCATCCTCTGTGCAGCCACTGCTTCCTGTGTGAATATCCGTGTCTCCATCATCGTCTGAGCATCCGCTCGTCCCACTAGACAGCCTCCGTGGGGATATCTTCAGTGACTGCACTCTCCCAGAAATCGCTTCCGACGGTCCTTGATCCATTCCGTATGTCATGAGACTCCACGATGTAAGAGTTGGTAAAGCTTCGCCATCTACGTGGTGCTTGTGCAGGAGTCTCGTGACCTCATCTAGAAGCAACTGTGGCATTGCCCGATGGGCTTTCGGATATGCTCATGCTGCTCTAGTCTCTAGTATCTCTAGTACCTAACACGTGCCAACCCGACCCACTAAATCGCGATACCAATCCGAAAACGGAATCGGAGCATCACTGGAAGCACTCGCCCTGGAAAATAAAAGCTCAACCCGAAACGCAACCCTAGGCCCTCAGCCCTCAACCCCAAAATTGAACGCACCAGGACACTTCTGGGATGCTTTGCTCGTAGCCGGCTTCAGCCAACACTTCAGCAACCCATTCTTGCACCGAAGTCTCGTTCATCTGCAGCATTCCCTCATAGGCCAGGGATCCGTCGTTCTCCTGGCGATTCCAAAACCGGCTGTGGGGTCTTGGGATGGTATCCAGCTGGAAAATATAATCCGGGCAGCCCATCGGTGCCAAAGTGGGGTCTCATCAGATGCCAGACAGGTTGGCTTTGCTTTGCTGGCAGCCGAGCTTAGGCTTCATGGATGTGGTTAGTTTAGGGTTAGACGATATCCTTGTAGCATGAAACGCAAACCAAGCTTGCAGGGTCTTGAACCTGCAGCATCAGTAACGTCATGGGCATGCCTGGAAACAGTCCAGACAGAGAGACTAGACTGTTGACGTCCAGCATCGCTTGTAGATCACCACAAGGTCCCTGAACATTTCATGACACAGTCCTCTGCATCGAACGTCTCGCAGAACAGGAGTGTGCTTTTGCCAGAGCTGTCTGCAGCATCCGGTGCCGGCAAAGTCGTCGTCGTTTCCAGTTCACAAGCATCGCCTGTCCAAGTGTAGCCGGAGTCACAGCAGCAGTACTCCTGGAACTTCGATGCTACCAGGGTTATATATATATATATATATATGCATACATACACACAATCGTTTATACTTAGTTATGTCTGTACGTGCACTTGTGTCTCTATTTCGTTTCCACGAGCCACCCTTATAATCCAGGGTTCTGCTGCACTTACTGGGATGCCCCGTGAACTCTCAAGCCTCCGAGCTCAGTTTGCCGCTGCACCGCCTTAATGCTGAACCCTGAACCCAAAACCGTTTCTTCAGCAGGCTTCTCTCGCCTGGAACACAAAACCCTAAATCCTGAACTCTACACCCCAAATCCTTACCTAGAGGCTCCAGAGTAGTTCCTTTTCGGGGGCTCATATTGAGAATCCTATGAGGTAATGCCAAAGGAACTACTATGGAGCCTATGGGTAACTACCCGAGCTCACCTTCATTCTGGGCAACCATGGCCCGGGGCAAGCGTGCATGTGCTGCCCGCAGGACATCCACCAGTTTGAACCATCGATGGCGGGACTCAGGACTCTTGTAGCTGCTATCAAACGTCGCCTCCCGGGCTTTAGAAAAAAGACAGGGGGGCGCCTCCTGTAAGTGCTCTTTGAAGGGTTACTATATGACAGAACCCTTCGGGTTACCACTCATGAATAATCCGACGCTGTGTCAGATTGTTAGGCATCTAGGTTTGGGGGTCAGGGCTTTTGGGTGTTGGGGCTTGGGGTTTATCTTGTGATCTGGGGCTGTCGGCTGTTGTCTGCGTAGCCAAAGCTTCATGACAACGGGCTTCCCAGTTTTCAAATCATAAAACAAGGCCATGCAGGATATTGCAAAAAGACAATATACAAGTGTATTAGGTATAACATATAAGTATATTGGAAGAATAATATGATAGATAGCTTTATGTGATACGTAGCACAAGATACTATACTGTTACATTAACAACAGAAACGGCTAGCACAGAGCAAAACAGGCTGGAATCTAACGGAACCTGAAAGAAATTAGTTTGCTATAATAACATAACATAATATGATACACAAAAACGCAATAGAATGCAGTACAACATACAATAATGACACGCAAACAGTACACAATACAATGCAACGAACATCAATATAACATAATATAAAAACAGCATAGGATAGACAGGCAAACAAGAGACTAGAATAAAACCTCGTAGAATCTACTATAATAAACTGTAACATGATAGAACATATTACAATACTATATAGTATATTACAACAAAATAATAAAACAACTAGAGTACAATATGCTGTAATCGGATATGGTAGAAAGGTATAGGATAGAGAAAAGAGAACAGATTAGAGCCCAAAAGAGCAGGTTCTAATCATGTATACAACATGACACCGCTCATTTAGTACAATGTAACATGAAAATAACATCATCTAACACAATGAAACCAAAAAAATAAGAGTGGTTGGCAAAGGTAAGCAAGGGCAAGTCGCAGCAAATTTCAGTTCTGAACCGGGACCTGCGATTGCAGAGTTTCACGGCCCGAGAGTGCTTCGGGTTTCGTTCCTGGGCTTCGTGGGTTCAATGGCCTCCTGCGTGGGGTATCATCCACTTCCGGGTTGATATCCACTGCAACTAGGAACAAGATCAAAGCCAGAACCAATCTGGATATCCAATAGCTCACTGCCCAACACGGTTTGCATTGCCCAGGCGGCATTCCACCAATCTGCTTCTGTACCATCGTCTGATGCTGCAAGACGTGCAGCAAATTCGGGAGGCTGTACAGCTAATTAATTAGTGAGGTCCAGCTGAACCAAACGCCGAGCGACGATTTTCTGGCCCTTCCCCAGCAACTGGCAAGGACTAGCTAAACACAGAGGCTTCCTCTCGCAGGTGCTTGCAAGAGGAGTCGTCCGTACTGCTGGTGCTGTTGCGGCTGAAGTTGTCAACTGTAGTGCTGCCGTGAAGACAGAGCTGCTGATGCCAGCGATGATGATGATGATCATAATGAAGAAGTGGATCACCACCGTGATGAAGGTATAGTAGTACAAACATGTTTGTTGCGGGCACTGTTGTTGATGTTGCTGCTGTTGATGGTGATGATGATGATGGTGATGACAAATCCAGTGTCCCCAAGTTCACCATGCTGGTAGTGACGTCGTTGGTGCCGACGGTGATTGCGCTCATGAATACTGCGAGTAAAAAACATGATGATGATGAGCGGGACTGACGCGATGATGTGTATGACTATGACTGTGTTTGTACCAATTACTATGACTATGACTACGACTAAGACTATGACGTATGATGACCATCATGACGATGACGATGTTGATGTTGATGGTTTGATGCTTATCACCAGTGGTGGGACTCGCGTGTGGCTACTGCCACTACACCTTCTTACCACTGCCACCCCGACCTCCGCTACCACCATATCCGCTGCTTCCACGACCAACACAGCGACGACAACCTACGACGGGTAATGCTCATAATCAGGTCCGTCGTAGTCGCAAAGGCAGTCGCTCTCGCCACCATCATCGTCATCACCATCTTCTTCAGTGTGGCACACTCACCATCTTCGCCTATGCCATCAGCAAATTCATCACAATCTCCCGCGAGAACTTTCTCCTCAGCCGCCCCGAACCCTAAGTTCTCGACCCCAAGCAGATGCCTATTAACCAAAACCCTTAACCCATGAACCCTCTGAAGCTCAAAGCCCCCAAACCCTAATCTCTCAACCCTAAATAAATCCAAAAAACCCTAAACGCCTAAACGCCTGAACCCCAAAACCCTGAACTCCCAAATCTCTGAACCCCCAAACCCTGAACCCAAAACCCTTAAAGGAATCCATATAATTAGAATCATATAGATCCCTTTAAAGGATCCCTTAAATATCCCTACCATGGTAACTTCTACAAGCCTTAAACGGCGAACTCGGGAGCCTCCCGATGTTGGAGCGCCAACGCTGCAGCGCTGCTGCGGCCAGGCATCGGCGTTTGAGGGTGTAGGGGTTCCGGGTCTAGGGATTAAGAGTTTATGGGTTTAGGCTATGGGGCTGCGGGTTTGCAGGCTTTTAGGGCTTCTATAGGTCTTTTGGGGTTTATGGCTTTTGGCAGGTTATTAGGGGTTTCAAGGATAGGGTTTGGGATGAGCTTAGGTTTAATGGCGTTCAGGGCATACCGAAAGATGAGGCTGAGGAAATCACAGGCTCTTTGAGATTTCACCAGCTCAAAGCCAACGAAAAACTTTGAAGAGCCTTGCTTGGGTAAAGTTAAGGCCTACCAAATATTGTAACTTACCATCTACGTAACTGCTACAGAGTGGGGGCAGTATTGGAAAATCCATAAGACTGCTCATCTCACGCTATGTAGTTTACTATAATGACCCATGGTTGAGTTCTAGCGTGCTTCTTGACGCTCTTCTTGAACATGTTGCAATCTAGGCAGCACTTGGGGTCATTTGGTCCGCTACGTGGTCAGTGTCTGCCTGCAATAGCGACGGCAGAACGTCGAGCAGGCCGAATGAGGTGAAAGCATACTGATGCTTTCTGACACCTCTAGCGCTTGGGGTCTTGTTCAGGTTGCAGCATCAAGCACTAAATCCTTATAACCCTTACAACCCGTATATCCCTTATAACCCTTATAGCCCTTGTAACCCATCACCAATACCTATAAGCCCTCTAGAGCGGATCTGATCCGATCCGAGAGCTGCATGCATGAAGGTCTGAGCCGTGATGTATGAACATTGACGGGAGGAGCTGTCCGAAAGAGAAGCAACTGAAACAAGCAAAACGGTAAAGCGCTATCAAACACAAGATCTACGAAGCCGGTGCACACGCGCCTCGTTTTCATTCAGCCAGCACTTTCCCATGTACATGGACCCGCTTTCGTGATCCCTCGGCCTTTTCACAGCCAGAGTTCACAACATGCGCGGAAAGCAATTAGCGGCATCTTGAGCGGCTGGCCGCAGTGGGTGTATGTGCTCAGATTGCTTTCTCATCTAGGCGATTACGAACTTCGTAAAGCTGGGTGCTCCGACCAAGATGCACCGGCCGACGATGCCCAGGGCAGACGCGAGTGCAGGCTTAGGTGCTTCGCAAATCCTACCTCGGATTTGCTAGATCCTCCTGATAGAATTTCGGGTATCATGCACCAGCTCGCTAGCACGCTGAGATCACAAGAAAGAGCTCAAATGCGTCTGTCCTGGCGGAGGAGTTGGGGAAACAAGCACAAACCAGAAAGCTCCGGTGCTCCGACTCATATGTTGTTGTAATATGGGGTGGGGTGGGGGTGGGGGCTTCATGATTAGAAGAGGGTTTTTGGTACAATCGACTATAAGTACAATAGGGGGGATCCCGAAAACGGTACAGGTACTTATTAACGCCTCTAAAGTATGCTAACACGATGTATAGGTATAGGCGCATGCCTGCATGTATTTGTATGCGCGCCTGGACGCACGTATGTGTGCAAGTATGAACCAAGTCATGTCGCGCCCTGCTCTTGTGTTAGTTTATGCATACACACCCGCACATGTTCATATACATATGTGTGTGTGTATATATATATATATATATATATTAATACTGTGTTTCCACATGCACACTCACACACACACACACGCGCGCACACACACACACAGACATACACAGACACACACACACACACACACACACACACACACACACACACACACACACACACACACACACACACACACACACACACACACACACACACACACACACACACACACACACACACACACACACACACACACACACGCGCACACACTCACTCTTTTCCGTTCGTTCACATGCTCCAGCGAAGTATGCCAAAGCGTTTCGGACCAATGTGCAAAGTTGGCTCCAGCCAGCAACACATGTTGAAGGCTTGACGCACAAAAGTACACAAAGTCGCCCTGATGCCCTAAAGATACCGTTCGAACTCAAGAAAAACCTTGCCACTTACACCGCACCTGCAGGCAGTTCATGACGAGACACCGTAGCAGCACCGACAAATTACTGCCTACTACCTTCCACATACTAGACTCCCTGCTAGTACCGGTTCCATACGTCACTCAGGAAAAAACTCCAGAATTCTCCAACTGATTCCCAAAGCCCGAAGGCAACCTCCCGAAATTCAACATGATAAACTCTTAAGCCTGGAAAGACCTCAGCACTGAAATACAATTTGAGCTCTGGCCTCGCGGCGGCTCAGAGCGCCGTGGCGGTGCTGGAAGGAGTAGCAAAGGCCACGGAACCTCACTTTCCGTGCTTTGGGGATTTCGGCTTCAGGGTATAGCTGTAAGGTTCGTGTCTCCGAAGACGAGGAAGGTTGAGCCTACGTAGACAGAGTCCCAAGCCCGAACACAACAGTCCGGAAATCCGATAAACGAAGCCACATAACTCCCAAACCTTAACTACCACATAAACATCCTCCTGTTTTGTCCCAAAGCCCTTGAAACACCCTAAGCCCTAAACCCCCAAACTCCTACGGACCAAACCCCTAAACTCCTAAACTCCCAAAGCCCAAACCCCTACACCCCTCAACTCCTAAAGCCCACCCCTAAACTCCTAAACCCTAAACCCTAAACCCTAAACCCTTAAACCCTAATCCCTAAACCCTAATCCCTGAAGTCCGAATCCCTACAGTCCAAAAGCCCTAAACCTGGGCATCCGGACTAAGGACTCCAAGCCCTGTGCAGCCTCGGCTTTGGCAACGTCGGCCTCTCAGAACGGGCGCTTCGCTCGCTTGCAGTGATGTAGTCGATGTCGTCGTCGTAGTGTAGTGCATGGTAGTAGTCGTAGTAGTAGCAGCAGTAGCAGTAGCAGCAGCAGCAGCAGAAGTGGCAGTAGTAGCAGCAGCAGCAGCAGGAGCAGCAGGAGCAAAAGTGGCACTAACTAGCACTAGCAGCAGCAGTAGCAGCAGCAGCAGAAGCCAGCTATGATATACCCATTATATAACCATTATATAGCCCATTGTAGGGTAAGGGTCAACACTCTTGTAGGAACCCTTGGAAGGAGCCCTAACAGTGGGAGTCCTGGGTCTGACTCTCGATGGCGATGATGTCGTGCTGGTCAAGGATGCGCCGAGCCTGACCGGCCCAGGGTCCGGAAAGAGGTTCGGGTTTCAAGGTTTAAGGTTTAGGGCTTAGGGTTTAGAAGGTTTAAGGTTTAGGGTTTAGGGTCTAGGGTTTAGGGTTTAGGGTTTTGAAGGGATCTATAAGGATTCCGTAAAAGGGATCGATAAGGGTTCCATAAAGGGCTTTAGGGTTTGGGGTTTAGGGCTTATGGGATTGTCGGGGCTGAGGGGTTTAGGGCTTGGGGGTTGAGGGCTTCGTGATTTAGGGTCTAGTTACGGTTGACAGTTGAGCGGCTAAGCATTGTGAAGCAGGGTTGTTCGGGGGATAAGGCCTCTGCACTAAGGATTGCAGCAGCCCTGCTAGCCTACATCTTATACCCTATGCCCTGAGTTCTTCCACGCAACAATCCCGACCCTGACATTCATCCCAAAGGCTCCATGTACCCACATAGTAGGTACTTAGGCCTTAAAGTACCTATATAGGGACCCCTTTAAGGCCTAAGTATGGGTACATGGAGCCTTAGGGCATGTGGTCGTTCGTTCCGCGGGCCAAAAGCTTGCAACTCCGGTTTCTTCGCAATCCGGTTTCACAAGCACGCGATGTCTGTCTTCAGCCCGCAACCTCAGTGTTGCAACATAGTTTAGGGCTTAGGGGCCTTAAGCATTAGAATAAGGCTCTGAGGTCCAAAATGCTCCCACATTAGGGCTGCGGGCTTTGAGGTGGAACAGTCTCAGGCCAGGGCATTCGTGACTCACATCTTCCGGAACGGCGTGCGGCCGCAGGGTTCGAATTTACGGCCCTTTCCGCCCTTTCAGAATCCACCAAAAACGCGATTTGTTTGTTTACTTCCTGCTTGGATCTGCTGCGACGTCGGACTTGCAGCAGAGCTATGGGGCTGGGTTGGATTGGTTTGCCCTAAGGGCCCCCAGGTACCTATATAGTATATAGTATACACATTGGCCTTAAAGTCGTCCCTATATAGGTGCATTGGGACCAAAGTATATACTATCTGGGTACATGGACCCTGAAGCCCCCAAGCTTCTAGAGTCCTTACAGTGACCCTTATAGGAACCCTTAAAAGGATCTCTTAAAGGAGCCTTATTTGGGTACATGGACCCTTAGGATTGTTTCGCGCTTCGGAGCTGAGGGCTGGCGCAGTCGTAATCTTTGAGACTTTGCAGTCTCTCAGTTGAACTTTGAACTCTTGATGTCCACCACCCAGGATTGCAGCAATTGTGGGTAATGATAGTTCCCCATGATCACAACATAGACCTTAAATCGTATGCCGTAGATCCTTGATCCTCACGGCTCAAACACAACATAAACAATTGAACCCGAAGACCTAGAACCTTATGCCTGAAACCCTGTGGTAATTGTAGATCTTGTGGGAATGGTTCGCCTCCATGGACTCGTTCGCAGCTTCGAGTGCCGCCTGCGATACTGGAGTCTGAGGTGAGGGTCATGCTTTAGGGTCTAGGGTTCAGGGTTTGGGCTTAGGGTTCAGGTTTTCGGAAGTCAGGTTTAAGTTTAGGGTTCAGTCTTCAGAGTTTAGGGTGTTGGGACAGGGTTGAGGGTTTTAGGTTTAGTGGATCAAGGTTTAGTGGATCAAGGGCATTCAATATAAAGTCTCACGATTAGTGGCTGACTGTTGCTTGAAGTCACCACTGCTATCATATCGGCTGGTAATTTTGCATACGATGTGCGGCTCTTTTTGTTGATCTTCTGCATCCTTATCATTCTGGCTAACCTTATCGTTATCATGACTTCTACCACCGCTTTTGAAAATTCAGGCGACCAGTACTATGGTCATCTGTATGTCAGTACTACCATCTTCACAATCATTGCCACGCTTGTCATTCATTCGAACATTGTTGGTTCCTATAACACAATACTGATTCGGAGCATTTTCCTGTTGGGTGTTTATAAAACATCTAAGAGGGCCCATGTGTTGAGTCTTGTTGTTGCAAGTCGTGTCTTCGGGCTTGGGGGGGTTTGGAGCTCCGGGCTTCAATTGGCACCCTAAAGCCTAAACCCTGAACCCTCAACCCTAAACCCTAAATCCTAAACCCTGAACCCTAAACCCTAAACCCTAAACCCTGAACCTGAACCCTAAACCCTATACCCTGAACACCAAACCCTGAACCCCAAACCCAAAACCGAGAAGGCAGGAATTTCTGCTTTGGGCTGCCTACTTAGCTTCCCAGGTCAAAGGTTCAGAATAGGGTCTTGGTGAACTTTTATACTACAACTACGTGGGGGCTATAATAGTAAGGAGCCCCAAAATAGTACAGGTAATTATCAAGGCCCCTCTTTTTCGGGGGTACTACAAGGGGATACTATTACAAATTCTTAAAGACTCCTAGAACAGATGGAACAGATCGTCGCACGAGCATCGATGCCAACATCAGTTGACATCTTGCAATTCTTCTTCCAGGATAATGTTTTATCAGGATCCTTATTGTAAGCCGGTTTTCAAACAAGGCGATGTGTAGGGATCTCCACCAATCTTAGTCAACCCTGCCCCTGCATCTCTGGCAGAGATCACGTCCCTGCAAGCTCACGCAAATCTGCGTCCGGTGCTTGGCCCTGGCCCCTCAACCGCTGCATACCTCGATCCTAAACTGCTGAATCTCAACAAACATCTACTCAGTCGCGGAGCAGCATAGCAGACAACTCCTCAAACTGCCACCTAACGTCCGTCTGCTCCTACTTGGTTTCCATGACTGAACCTGCTTGTTACGACTAGCGCTCCGACGACTACGAAAACGACGACTACTTTTAATCTTACTACGGCTACCGATATTCTGTTGCCCCGCGATGACCCTTATTGTGCATTTGAGTTAGGATCTCTCAACCTGACGCTCCATCCTAAAACCTACACCCTAAACCCTAATCCATGAAGCCTAAGCTATGTAGGATCCCTCTACCTGATGCTAAGATCCTAGAGGCACGCCTCTGCAGACTCTTTTGAGAGCTCATTGGCCCTCTCTGCATGCTTCCATGCCTGTTGCAGACTATGTTAGACTTTAGGCTTCAGGGAGGGCTTAGGGTACTACTTGGAGCTTCATGGGTAGTTATAAGTATGGTTAATAGGTCCCCCCAATAATAGTTACCCTACCTATAACCTCACTTATAACTACCCATGAGCCTCCAAGTACAACCCATGAACTTCCTATGAGCTGTAACATGCTTAGGGTTTAGGGTTTAGGGTTTAGGGTTTAGGGTTTAGGGTTGGGGTTTAGGGTTTAGGGTTAGGGTTTAGGGTTAGGGTTTAGGGTTTAGGGTTTAGGGTTTAGGGTTTAGGTAGAAATGCTTCGACAAAGACTGTATCGGGAACCCACGGCTTTCTTCCTGGGCCAGTAGCGAAGTGGCCTCAACCGGGGTTCGAAGCGTGGGGATCCTGCTTTTCTCTCTAAGCTTGCAAGCTTCAGAAATAGGGTGTTGGGGTACAATCTACTAAACTACTTATGTTACTAGTAAGGATCCGAATTAATCAAGCGTGAAGGTTTCAGAAGTAGGTGTGTGGGTGCAATATGCTACATGCTTGTATCGCTATTGAGACACCCGTTTCGCTCCAGGGCCCCTGTTTAGAGTCCCGGAACATGCAAAAAAAATGGACCAAGACCCTGGCGAGTTCAGGGTTCAGGCTCTTCCTTGTCCTATCCGCAGGTCGCACCAACCAGGGTTTGGAGTTTGGGGTTTAGGACGACTTCTTGACAGGTTTACGGCTTAGGGCTTGGTTGAGGCCAGGTGTTCATGCTCTGACATGCCATGCGTTGAAGTCTTCATAATCAATTCAGACGCTCTCGTTCGGAGTAGAAACCTGGTTCCAAGAAGTCGACAAACGTTACATCAACATCCGGCCATCGTAAGGCTGAAATGAAATAATCTTGTGGATACACTTCCTGGTTCAGCCCAAGCCCAAACCCTGAACCCTAAGCCCCAGAGCCAAATCCTAAAGCCTACTCGTAGAGTATCCCTTCTAGTACCCCTACAGTATCCCTGAAAAGTACCCTTAAAGGGAACTCCAGAAAGTTGGAATATGGTTTCATGGTAGGATACCCTATAATTTACCTTAAAGGGATTATGATAATGATATTCCAACTTTCTGGCTTCTACTGTATATTATCCTTTAACGGAGCTCTAAGCCGCCCCAAAGACCAAAGGATATCCGAACCTCGTGGATGGCATGCTCCCGGGCCTCAAGGGGGGCGTTCGTTGTTCTGGGGTTTAGTGTAGGAACCTGATTAAGAAACCTTGGGCCTTTACTAGGGTTCCTTATTATATGAATCCTACTATTTGGGGTTCATAGGGCCAGGGCTTCTTAGTTTAGGGAAGTGTTCGTCTTGCATGCTTACGGCAGCAGCCTGGAAACTAGGACGTGTGCTCGAGCGACCAGGCCTTTGTCATGAGACAGCTGGTTCGGAACATGCCTAAAGCTACCAGATTGCTGTTTTGCAGGGTTCATACACCATGGATTCAGGCCTTACTTACTAGGTTCCTCTAGGTTAACGCTAAGGTATCACGTATTTTTTAGCGTTTTAAGATCCACGGGCCAACGAGGACTAGTTCAAGATTTTGGCATTGCAGTGTTCTTGGAAACAGCCTGAAAAGGGTCCAAGCTGTGCATGGCTTCTGCAGGAACACTCTCCAGCACTTCCTTCTCTGATACTTCAGGCTTCTCCAGATAAAGGCCCAGACGGAATATGCCAGCACATCTGCGGATGCCTCCTTCGACTCGTCCTGTGGCTTTGAGAGTCGGAGAGATATTTCCCAGGACGCATTCACACAAGGCCAGCCCAAACCCTGAAGCCTCAAAAACACAAACTCGCAATTAACCCATCAGCCCTCAAACAAAAACTCACTCAAGACTCTAAACCCTTCATTCCAAAGCATTGAAGGCCGCTTTCGAGTTCATGATGCAGTTCTGAGGACTTGGTCTTTGACCCCTTCGCGAAAATTGAGGATTTAGGGGTTTGCCACAGTTTGGGATCGGGGCTTCAGATTTCAAGTCTTGAGGTTTCAGGTCTGCAAGGTTGGCCGCTCACCTAAATTCCTGCTACACGTTAGGTATCTAGATGTGATTGGCACTTCTTCTAACCATCTGCTGAGTTCTTAGTCATATGTACATGTGTGCCTTTATATCTATATGTATGTGTGTATCCCTCTCTCTCTATATATATACACATACATGTGTGTATATATATATATATATATACATATATATATATACACACACATATACATATGCCTGCATGCATGCATGCATGCATGCATGCATGCATGCATGCATGCATGCACGCAGTGGCTTCAGTAACATTTCAGCCGGTTGGATATGTACAGAGTTTATACTTTAAACATGGTGTACAAAAGTGTATCGGGGCTGTGCGTGAGACCTAGGTCCTGAGGTTACGTCTTGTGATGCACGGCCCCAATCTCGATTGCTTCTAGATAGGCTCTTGGGCATGCTTGATTCAATGAGATGGTCTCGGTTGGGCAAAGGGATACAGAAGTTAAATCACTGTTTTGCACGGCGTTCTCTCAACCTCGGATGTTTGCTCTTGAAGGCATGCACGGACAGGGATGGGTTTCCTTAGTTAAGTGATTCTGTAAACAAAGGCGGCCGATGGCCGTCTGCGTGGGCTACGATTCTGGACATACCCGCCAATTATTTTGGTACCAAGATTAGTAGGCTTGCCAGCAGAAGGACAGCAACGTTATATCAAATTGCCGACTGCAGAAGGAGGCCTGCTCGAGCCAAATCGGCACATACATGTCAACTCGTGGCTTATCTCGTTTTTATCTGCAGTGCCTATCTCTCGCTATGCCCCTAAACCCAGTATATACTGGCCCTGTGCCAGTCATTCTGTTTAAGGTTAACAGTTTAGGGTCTAGGGTGTGTGCCCCTGCCCGGAAACTTCAAACCCCAAACTCTTGAACTTGATCCGGGGGTGCCGGTCCTCGATGTCTTGCTCCTTCTGCCGCTCTTTGGCCTCACTTATCGACGACAAGTAGGATCATGGCCTAAGAAAGGGTCACTCAGCACCCATGAATGTTGATTACCTGCTACGAGATATTTATGTATAGGTTTATTTATTTATTTAACGAATATTCAGGCGTAAAGTCCGAGGCCCTAGAAAGAAGAAGGGTAGGGCCCACAGGTCTCAAGCCTTGGGTGGATCGCTTCGGGCGACAAGGTTCGCCACGTGTGTCAAGCTCGTCTTAGTTGTAGGAACCTGACTAAGAAACCTTGGGCCTTACATGAATCCTACGATTTTGGCAGGCCCACGGTTTCTTAATCAGGTTCCTAGATTAGTTGTACGGCCTGGAAGAAAACCAAGAGTGGTATGAGTACCTTCGCACCACAATCACGATCGGCACGATCATGCATTATCTACGCCTACACAACGTGGCCGCCTGCGCCACCTGCGACCCCGTACAATATGTATTCATCAAGGGCACTCCAGAAAATCGCACCCTAGCCGCCACAGTCATCATCAGCTGCAACAACAACGTAAGCATCGTAGCCCTTCATCATCACCATCATCAGCATCATCATCATCATCATCATCATCGCCATCATCACCGTCATCATCATCAGCACCATCAGCAGCAGCATCGACAGCAGCATCGACAGCAGCATCAGCGCCAGTAACAACAACCACAACAACGACAGGGACAACCCTGTAATACTAAAGACACATTCGCATCATCACTTCATCATCGTCGTCACCATGAGAAGAAGACCCGTGTCCAAGGCTCTGGCACAAGCATCCTCCAGCTCGGGTCCCGTCTTCTCCTTCGCGAGCTTGGCGATTCATTCGCCGAACTTTAGAGCTTGGGATCCTAAGTACCTAAAATGTAGCATGCAGGGTTTGGGGCTTTTGGAGTCTAGGGGTCCTAAGTACTTTTCTAGTAGAATGTGAGCTTTTGTAGTGGGTTTGGGGAGGTATCCCTCATAATTGTACCTAGGACGGTCTGGGTTAGGATGAGGATTACTGTCATCGTCATCCCATCGGCCAGTCCTGTCTCAATCTACTGAAAGGATGATGTAAAGTAGGGGCCTTGATAATTAGAACATGGTGGATCATTATACCCATAGGCCCCATAGTAGTTCCTTTTTGAGGGTTCATATGTACAGTCCAATAAGGCAATCCCAAAACGGAACTACTTTGGTGCCTATGGGTAGTGCACATATACTGCGGAACCCCGCAGGAACAATGTTTGGACATCTTGAGGCTTCTATATTCTGTATCCCCCTTAGAACCAAATGTAAAACTAATATTGTTAATGCTCTCTTGGGTTTTATATGAACAAAACTGAAAAATGATCCCTAAGAAGACTATAGTCTTGGAGGAGCAACGGGTCGAAACCCCAACTTTCCGAGGCGCGCGCGACATTGTCGGGATCCAAAGGCCATTTGCACAGGCACTTCAATCTTCTACCGACCCGGACCGTAAGAGTCAAGTAGGACTGTTTACACCCGGAAATTTTCTGCAGATGCGGGGTAACATAATTTAAATGAGCTACAATGGGGCTGCTCCTATGCCAAGAAGGGCCTAAACCCCAAATCCCAAGAAACTTTGTGGAAGTCCGAAGTTCTGATCGGCAAAACCGACGGAGGAACTCAAACTTCTCGAGGCCCCCTAGGCGGTGTCCGCAAGAACCCTTTAGGGGTCAGGGCTTAGGGTTTAGGGGCTTAGGGCCTAGGGGTTCAGGATTTAGAGCTTTTTAATTAGGGGTTAGGGTTTAGGGAATCCTGGGAACACGTGTCCAATATATCAAATCTTGGACCTGGACTTAGAGGAGACCAACTCCGAAACCCCTTACAATAGAAAGACCTTAGAGTACATACTCTCGAACCCCGAACTCTTGCTGTTAATCCTGCATAGCAGACGCAAGATTCTCAGTCTGCAACATCCAAACCCTCAAATTCCGTAAACCCGAGCGGCCTTGAAAACCCAAACCCGAAAACCGTGTGCCCCCGGCGTGGTCCTCGAAGGACGAAGGTGCAAAGGCCCCTCGGAGCTTGATCTGGCCTGAATGGACCAAAAAATGCTTTGGTGACTATGAGGGATAACTGAAACAGGGTTCTGCAAGGGTCCTACCAGTGGTCTAAGTAGAAGACTCCTACAAGGGTCTGTACGAGGGGTTGTAGAGGGGCTACTCGAAGGTGTGGAAGGAGGATTCTATCAGCATTGAAGGGTTGCTTGGGTTTGTAAGTATTACGACAACAAGTGCCACTACAGGTTCCATGACGGGTTGAGTAGAGAGGATGGTTTGGAGAGGGGGGGCAAAGCGCTGCAGCGGATCCTAAACCTCTAAACACCGAAACTGCCAAACCTTGAACCCTCATCAACTCTGAACACCCAAACCTTACAGCCTGGCGCCTACATGCCCCTGCCCTGGATCCTACGGCCTCATGCAGCGAGATGGCCGGAGCATCCAAACGAGGATTCTGGAGTATCTTCTCTAAAATTGTACTCAGATTCAGGAACCCCAGGGCATAGTAGTGGTATTATTCATGCCCCTATATTCACAGCCGAAACCCTCAATCCTCAAGCTCAAAGTCAACGACAGGAGCCCTTAACATCCCGAAGGCCCTAAATCCTGCTCAGTGCTAAAGTCCTTGGACCCTACACCCCCCGTAGCATCCCTGCCGTTGAAAGCCCCAATAAGACCCTTGTCGAACCCCAGTGACCTAGCGGAAGCCTACTTGGAGGATCATGGGACTTAGCAAGTAAGGTTATAAGTACCCTAATGGGGTTACAAGTAGTTGTAAGTATAGTTACCCTAATTATAACCCTAGTTACTAGAGTCCCATGATCCTTTGAGTATAGGACATGCCATGTAGAAAACCAAGATATCACCGACCTGGCTTCCTGTAAACCCTGACATGTGCAAGCTGGCAGATCCTGCCTAGAGCAGGGCATGGCAAGTCCTGACAGCACCAACGTGGTATCGAATACATGTTCTTTCTCCTGCTTTTGGGAGGGTTAGAACTATACCTATCTATAGACATATACTGTATATATATATATATATATATATATATATATATGTATGTATGTATGCATGCATGTATTCATGTGTTTATGTGTTTGTTCATATATCTCTTTGTTTTGGCTTATTCAGGTACTGTTATGTACAGTTGTAGTCATATTTAGAGGTATAGGTATATGTATACTCATGTCTGTGTACATGTGTACGTTTCTATTATATGTAGGGTGTCTATCGTAGGAATTACGATTATGGTGTCGGAAAGTATCCCCCATAACAGTACCCAGGACCGTTTGAATTCAGATGCTGGCGTACACGGTTTGGTGCTTAGGGGTTGAGGCTTCAGGGCTTTAGAGCTGAGGGTTTATGGTTTTGGGTTGAGGCTTTAGGGCTTAGGGGTTTAAGGTCTTCGGGAGGGCCTAAACCCCAAGCCCTATAAACTTTAGGACCTTAGGTTGGGAGTGGGGTAGTACAGGGCTGGACCATAAACTCCCACCTCCTGCAGACGGCAGCTTAGGGTGTCACTGAGCAGGCGCGGCATCACGGCGGCAGGGAGGACTCTCCCGTTCAGTTTGGGAGCCCCCTCTAAACCCTCAGCGTCAAAGCCTCAACCCCTAAACCCTAAACCCGGAAGCCTAGAAGGCTGCAAAGTCGGGCTGGGGAGTCCGAACCTCACCGAACTCTGGTCTTCATGGAGTGGCTGCACTTCCGCGAAGTCAGATTCATGAGCTGTTTTAACTGAGCTGCCTTGAGCAGAAGTCGAAGGACTGGGCGGAAGGAGATCATCCAAAACCAACATGAGGCTTGCGCTCTGAGTTTGAAGATTGGTCGCCCCTATCAGCTTCTCGCAACAGCATGATGAACTCCGAAAATAACTTTGCACGGCCAAAACTCAGACTGAAGCACCGCATCAGCCGAACCCGAAGTTCCGCATAGTCTTTCATGCAGCAACCGCCCTCAACCCTCAACCCTAAACCCTCAACCCTAAACTCTCAACCCTAAACCCTCAACCCTAAACCCTCAACCCTAAACCCTCAGCCCTAAACCCTCAGCCCTAAACCCTCAGCCCTAAACCCTCAGCCCTAAACCCTCAGCCCTAAACCCTCAGCCCTAAACGCTCAGCCCTAAACCCTCAGCCCTAAACCCTCAGCCCTAAACCCTCAGCCCTAAACCCTCAACCCTAAACCCTCAACCCTAAACCCTCAGCCCTAAACCCTCAGCCCTAAACCCTCAGCCCTAAACCCTCAGCCCTAAACCCTCAGCCCTAAACCCTCAGCCCTAAACCCTCAACCCTAAACCCTCAGCCCTAAACCCTCAGCCCTAAACCCTCAGCCCTAAACCCTCAGCCCTATACCCTATACCCTAAACCCTCAACCCTCTAGCTCAGGACAGCCCCTGTACACACCAGGCTTGGATCGCTGACACATCCTTAAGTCAGTGAGCCAGAAGCCCTAAGCATAATCGCTAAAGCACCAAACCCTAAGGGTCCATGTACCTAAGGGTTCCTTTAAGGGTTCTATAAGGGTTCCTATAAGGGTTCTAAAAGGGTTTAGGGTTTAAGGGTCCATGTACCTATATAGTATATACATTGGCCTTAAAGTAGTTCCTACATAGGTACATTGGGGCCAAAGTATATTCTACTTGGATACATGGACCCTTAGGGAAAGCCATGGTGCAACTCAGCTCGAAAGTTTTTTTTTGCTTTTCCTCGCTAGCACGGACAGCCTTCGGAGGTTCCAACTATGCTGGAAACTCTCTTGGGGCTTATCCAGTATACGGTTTAGGGTGTAAGGTTTAGGGTCTAAGTCCCCCAGATGGCTTCGATATGACTTGGGTCGTAGACTTTTTAGAAACCCTTTACCACACATCCAAAACCTACTGCTGCAAACATCTAGCGGTTTCAGCTTCGTCAGAGGCTTGAGGGTCAGGGGTTAGCCTGGGAGGCTGTTTGAAACTAGCCCGCCTTTGCTGTGGTTCAGCTGGTATTCAGCTTCCAGACAACAGCTCCGAAGTCAAATCGCGTCGTGCTTGTAACTTAGGAGTGTCCTTTCATGATTGCGTTCAAAACACATACAACGTATGGATTCGGAATCTATGTGATCGTTTCAGATGGATTTCTGGCTTATTGCCGCACAGCTGGATGCAGCCCCGCATGCCACCAAAGCCCTGGTTTAACGCTGAACCTGAGCTCTAAACCCGAAACTGCGACTTTAGTTAGCTGCGGCTCCGATTGCCTACGATCTTATGAGGGCTAAGCCCTATAACCACGAGCTCAGAACTTACAATTTTTGGGTGTTGCAGGTTATTCCTGGTCGCGTTCTTGCGTTTCGGAGCTGCTCTTCCGAGCAAATCGCCGGTTCCCGGCGAAAGTCCGACTTTGATGGCTCATGTCCCATATAGAGGTTTAGGGTGTAGGGTTTAGGGTCTGGGTTTGGGATAGAGGCATATTTACGGGCGCTTCGCCCCTTAAGTGGTAAGAGTAGCGTCCATAGCACAATGTCATGTAGTGGAATTAATGAAGTACCATGAAACGTAGGGTTTTGCGGTACGTCCTACCATCTCTTTACTCAGTTACCCTAAGGACAAGCAATACTGACTCTCTAGGCTTCTATACTAATCCTTCCACTCCCCAGCTTCACCCTGCACCATACCCTAAACCCCTAAATCCTAAACCCTCTACAGACCCTGCAAGACAAGACTCTCAGGAGTGGCTGGAGCAGATTCGGACCCGATGATAGCACGCCCTGGCCATGTTCAGGGTTCAGGCTTGCGGGTTTTGGGTTTAGAGGTTTAGGGTTTAGGGGTTTTGGATTTAGGGGTTTAGGTTTTAGGGGTTTAGGGTTTAGGGGTTTAGGGGTTTAGGGGTTTAGGGTTTCGGTTTGAGGGTTTACTGTTAAGTAGGTTTTAGAATTTTGGGGGTTTCGGGTTTAGGGTTTGGAGGGTTTACGGCTTATCAAAGAGCAAGAAACGGGCCTTCATGATTAGCTTAAGGTTCAACAAGTTTGCTTTCATGGCTTTGCAGTGTTTTGTGCATGAGCCTGAGGGTGAGTTATGGGGTTGTACAATTTATGGTTTAATGGAGCTTTGTAAGTGGGTGTTTTATGTTATGCATGGTTCAATATGAGGGGTCCTCGTGATTAGAATCTTGGAACATGCTACGGTGATCTCATATATGGGGATGGGAGATCACTGCCACTTGTTCAAACCTCCATGTGACACCACCGACCGTCCACGGAGCTTACTGCTGTTTTCGGGGCAAACAGAAGTACGCCAAAAATCTAAAGCAAGTCCGTCCGTCTGGTTCTTCCCAAAGGGACTTAAGTACCTATATAGTAGACTGTGGGGTGGGGTTTCTATGGTAGGAATCGCTGCTTTGATTTGGGGATGTATCCCTCCATAAGGGTACCCAGGACACATGGGCTTAAATGGTTTACGATGTTGTTTACAGGCGTTTGGGCTTCATGAGCCTCGAATTACAGTGTTGGGCCTTTCGAGCTAGACAAGTGCGGAGAAGTGAAGGTTAGGGTTCAGGGGTTCAGGGGTTCAGGGGTTCAGGGTTTAGGGTTTAGGGTTTAGGGGTGCTTGTGGCTTAATGGGCCAGAGCTTCGTGACAAGGCCTGTACCTGAACCTTCAGACCATGCACGTCTGAAGCCACAGCACGGAACCGTAGATGATGCAAAGCCTGAAACCAACACCATGTCAATCGCAAACCCCTCCCTCGAATGATCGTCGAACCTGAACACCCGAAACCTGAACCTTCAACTCCTAATGCCCCAAAATCTGGCCCTGTGCCCAATCACTCAAGCTTAAATTGGGGGTTTCGGGCTTGGGCTTTTGGGCCCAGGGGTTTAGGGTTTAGTGGTGCAGGATTTACGGGTTTCGGCTTTGGGGATGTCGGGGTCACTACAGTGAATTTATTAAATGGGGCTTTTGCTTTCATATTAGTACTTAAACGAAACGTTATATATATATATATATATAGACTTGGTGCACTTGTCGTAAGGAACCTGGAAATATCGCCCAATCTCAGGCTTTGACCCCCGCCCCCGCTCTAGTTATCTGAGGGCCCTGCGCGCAGAGTGGAAGCTCGGCATCGTAAAGCCGAACTCCAGGAAGCACTTTGTCCTGGGCCTTGGGGAATGGCTCATATCTTAGAAGCTGCCCCCACCCTGTAATAGTGACTATAAGGATTATATAGGATTATATTAGGGCCCTATTATATGCCTATTATACCACTATTACAGGGTGGGGGCAGCTTCTAACTCATATCTGGGAATCCAGCAACAGGCCCAAATAACAGGATCTACCGTAAAAACCTGGAGACTCCAGGAAAGATTGCGAGTTTGTAAATAACCCACTCGCATTATGCCGAAGAAAAGACATCGATGTTCCAACAAAATTTTAAATCATCAAAGCCCGACACCTCGGGTACCCCAATCCTTGGCCCAACGCCCGTGTCGTCCAGCTGGCCACTAAGTCGATTTAGGATTCAAAAAATGGCCCTTTGGGTTCGCAGGATTTAGGGTTGAGGATTTAAGGCTTTGGGCTGTAGGATTTAGTGTTTAGTGTTGAGGATTCAGAGTTTGGGATTTAAGGTAAACCCCGACTCCACCATCCAAAGCCTTAAACCGGCCCCGCGCCAGAATCCCTTTTCCCCCCCCCCCCCCCGCACGTTCTATCCGAGCAGCCGCGAGGCTTTCCGCCGGCCTTGTCCAGAAAGCTCAGTGGCTTACGCTTAAGTCCAGAGCGACTCTATGTGCGCAGTGCCCAGGAAGTGTAGGGTGTAGGGTTCAGGGCTCTATGGGGGTCGGGAATTTTCCATAGGCATATGATGCCGGAAGTTTCCGAAAATTTAGGGTACCTTTGTTTGAGAGCCTTATAGTCAAGATTCTACTATTTAGGGTACTAGATTCGGGTCCCCTATTGTCGGAAACTCCCAATGCGAATGCGGCCTTCTTGGACATTACGCTTAAACTGCTCGGAGGCCCGGAGCCGAAATCCTGAAAGCCTCCACTCTCCCAACTATACACCTTAGGTACTGCCCCCATACAGTAAGAGTCTATAATAGGGCTACTATTAAGGTCCTAATATAACCATATTATGAAAATTATTCAACTATTACTACCAACTTGTCGGGTATCATGGGGAATTGAAGACTAACCTGTTTTGGTTATATAGGGATTATATTATATAGGGACTACACAACCGAAAAAAGGTTAAAGGTTCCCTACTCTACTACTATGCCTAAGCCCGAAAGCTCTCAACTCTAAACTCCTCGAACTTCAGAGCATGAACGTTCACTTCCAGACTCCAGAATTGGAATTCCTGGCATCCTCCAACCGACTGCAGCAGTGCCGCTGAGCCGGGCTGTGGAGCACGGTGACCGAGGGCTTACATATGGGAGTTTCCGAAAACTAGGGGTACCTTATTTTGGGGTCCTTATAAAAAGGATCCTATACTTTTTATGGTACTAGATTAGGGTCGCGTGTTTTCGGAAACCCCCACATCACGAATCACAACCAAATGAAAGTCTGATTTCA